TAAAGAGGCGTATCTTGAAGAGCCAATTCGCTTCATTGTGAGATTACTCAACTACTCCATTCGGTACAAGCTTCTCGCAACGGACGAGAAAAGCCACACCTTCGAAAAGGCTCACAGCACAATGCTTGGAATGGAAGCAACGGAAAGACAGAACATAAAGCAATCCCCTAGCAACAACGCGACCAACACCGCCTGTGCCACAGACGACGACGTCAACTGGTAATGGAAGCCTTCTGCACAAGGTATGAACTTTCCACCCTAAAGGTTCGATTTAGCCTGTACTAGATGTGGTTGTTCACACGTCATGAAGTGTCCACATTTCCATAGCAATTTATTGCTTGAAACGTTCGAAAACGGGGCACTTGGCAAAATTATGCCTAACTAAAATTAGTTCGGGGACAAATGACAAACGTAGATGCTACCATTAAAGAAACTTTTTTCGTTCAAAATGTAAGTGATGCATAAGGCCAGGGTGTACAATTTAGGCGTGTTGATTGACAGCAGACAGGTGGAGATACAAGTCGACACAGTAGCTGCAATCTCAATAAAGAATGAAGGCGAGTTCCGGAAATTGATTTCGCACAAGCCCTGTGGCAAGACTAACGTAAGGTAATAGTCTACAATGGAAGTTGGATTCCAGTAACCGGACTTGTTGAATTTCGGGTAACCGATTCAAGGAAGCATGACACTTTACCGTTAATAATTGCGCAAAATTACGTGGTGAGTGATGTCATGCCAAACTTGGTGGGCCTGGACTAGTTGTCACAAGTTGGGTTGAACTGGCGACAGGGATTCTCAATAAATATGGTGTAGACTGAAATTTCCTTGAAGCAAAACTGCCTTGAAGTGATTAAGAGAGGCTCAGGCGTTATAACAGGTTTCAAAGAAAGCTTGGTGCTGAAAGACACTGCCCGGTCAGTTTTTTCGCAAAACGAGGCCAGTGCCTTGCACACTTTACGACAACGTAGAAACGGAGCTCATAAATTTCAGCCCGCTGACATTATCTACCGAATCCGACAGTCACTGGACTACGCCCGTAGTAACAGTGTCTAAAGGCGACAAAAGTGCGAGACTTTGTGATGACTATTGTGTGACTGTAAACCCGCACCTTTAGCTACATCGCACTGCCCTAATCTGAAAATATTTTTGCGTTGGTGGCAGGAGGTGCAGCTTTCACTGTTTTGAATTTTTCTAAAGCATATTCGCAACTCGAGCTGTATTAGACGTCACAAGAAATTCTAACATTGAACCCACACGTTGGCTTGTTTCGATTTAGACGTCTTCTTTACGGCGTCGCAAGCGCCCCTGCGTGGTTTAAGTCGACCATGGCCTAAATCCAAAAAAAAAAATTTTGAGAACCGCATGCTACCTGGACAACGTTCTGATTGCCGGCAAAAACACGAGAAGAACGCACGCAATATACTAACCGTGTTCTAGAGCACCTTATAGGCAAGGCGTTTGCGCAAACGCATAAAAATGTAAATTTGCTTCTGAGAAGCGTGAGTATCTCGTCTATGTGATTAATAAAAAAGGACTGAAGTGGACGAAAGAAAATGTTAAGGCCGTATTGAAAGTGCCTGAACCTAAGAACGCTGGACAGCTACACCTTTTCTGAGAGCTTCTGAACATTCAGGCTAAGTCCTTGCCCTGTCTGGCTGAAACACTCGAGGCAACGCACAAACTTTTCAGAAAATAAAATCGGTGGAATTGGTCTCTAGAAGGCAAAGACAGTTTTCAATGTTGCGAAAACATTCTTTTTAGTGACGCACTTATCGAGTTGTACGATGCAGCGAAACCGCTGAAGCTAACACGAGACGCGTCAGAGCATAGCGTCCCTTCTGTTATTACAGCGATAGCAAATAAATGCACACTCTCGGCTAGATTTTGCCGCCGTTGTTGACGTCGGCGTCGATGTCATGCACCGTATATGTATGCGTATCTATAATATTGAAAACAAAAGAAAAAAGAAAAACCAAAAAAATTGGCAGCATATCCACGAATTGAATGATGGAGAGTGGCGCGAATCGTTCGTCCGTCTTTTCGTTCTTGCTTCCATCCGTTCATGCGTCCGTCTGTGTGACCGTCCATGCATCCATCTGCCCGTCCGTGCGTACGTCTTTTCATGCGTCCATCCATGCATCTGTCTGTGTGTCCGTTCGTCTATCTATTCAACACTCCAAGTACCACCATCTCGCATCTTTTCATCATATATTCCTCATATAGAATCACAGCCATCCAGCGGACATTCCAAGGACTGAACGAGAGGTGGCACACGTACACTTTCTTACGGCTTGCGCTTCGGGTCTACTTCCCACCTTTAACCACCTCGAGTTCATGGTATATACTAGTTCATTGTATTCATGGCACTGCGGCCCAACGCTCGATAAACCTTTCTAAACCCAAGGATGTTACGCCCAGCGAGTATAACGTAGCAACCTTTTCCTGTCAGATAGCGCTCAATGTACATGCCAATGACTGCTAATGGGAAATGAGAGACAGGAGAATACGGCTTTTACTTTCTTACAGCTTGCGCTTCGTATCTACTTCCCACCTTTAACCACCTCGAGTTCATGGTATATACTAGTTCATTGTATTCATGGCACTGCGGCTCAACGCTCGCTAAACCTTTCTAAAACTAAGGAGATTACACCCAGCGAGTATAACGTAGCAACCCTTTCTTGTCAGATAGTGCTTAATGTACATGCCAATGGCTGCTAATGGGGATTGCAGCAAGCGCGTTAACTAAAAGCCGAATGCTCCAGTCTCTCATTCCCCATTAGCAGCCAATGGCATGTACATTGAGCACTATTTTTTATTGTTCAACAACGCACAGCATAAATCTCTCACCGGCACCACCTCGGAGGTCAAAATGTTATACTTTTCACACACTACAATGGCTACTTGGGACGAACGGGTGCCGCTATACAGAGCTTCGCTCCTAAAAAAATACCAAAGAAGTTTACATACACAGCAGGCGTAGAAACTTGTCTTTGATCAAAGGCAAGGTTAGCTGAGTTAATTTTTTGTGATGTGGCACAATAAAACAGCACAGAGCCAGAGATAAACACAAACAACATAAGCAACTAGACGATGCTCCCGCATGTTTCAAATGTACAAAAAACAACAAACTTCTATGCTGAGTGTTGATTCTCCGCCTTGCTGCTTTCATTCAATGAAGCGAACGCGATGAAACCACCGGGACGAAGGAACCGACCCTGTGTAGGCGACGAAGCGCTTCAAACGAATTTAAATTAGCAACAGTTTATTATTTGAAAACATACCAATCGCTTCTGTAAATGTAGAGCGACTTGATTTGCAGAGTTAGATGCAGAAAGACTTTTGCTAAAGTAGCGAGATACTGATAACTTACCAGACGAGGTAGATTGGTGCCTTCGGAAAAAGGGTGCTCATCGTTGTAATTTTAGTCATGTGAGCGATGGCTCTTAGCACGTTAGTAAAACTGATGGTACACCGCTGATATCTTATTTACGTCGCTGGCTATACTAACCAACTGCATCGTACATAGCAGTCATCGTTTTGGAATATTTTATGAACAACGTCCACATCATGCTCGTCATTGCGACATGACAAATACAGCAGTATACGCACCAAAATATTACAACAATGCAATAAGCAAGTAAGTAGCGCTTGTACGTTGTCGATGGTTAACCAGCGCATAATAAAAGCCAGCTCTCGCGCGCGCGAGGGCCGGCGTACGTGTCTGCCTTAATTATGTCTGCCCCTGAAAAACTGTTTAAACTTTGCATCACCACCAGACCAATCATTTAGGCCTAAAAAAGAAGAATCCGTGCTAAAACACCGAAGCAAGCATGTTGACTGCACCAAGAAGGTCGTATACAAGTTACCACTATCGTGTGGATGGCATTACACTGGGCAAACAGGTCGGTCCTTATACCACGGTCTGCGTGAGCTTGTGAACAGGTTGAAGAAGGGCAGCGATGAAAATTCGGCCATTCGTTGCCACGAATGTGGCTGCAAATCGTTGTATGAACATTGCACGGCTGTGTTATTTATTTATTTATTTATGGGGGTAATCAGCGAACACGAGTAATTGGAGAGGCAAATGCAACTGGAGGGCAGCAATGGCGCGAGTATGACTTCAGTTTCCCAAACATCGAAGGAAATGGCCTTCTCGGATCTCGGGGACGGGGTAGCTGACATGCGCTGTCACACTGCGCATTTGTGAGATTGGTGTTTTACTTTTGCCATATTGATATGAAATATATTTGACAGCAAATTAGAACAAACACGCAGAACAGACACGAAGTTTTTCGAACACAAAAATCAATACATGCACTGCATACTAACACAAACGAACAAAAGTATTTTTTTGTAATTTGATGTTTAATGACATATGATTCAAAGTGCGAATGAATAATATAATATGATTGAGCATTGTGGCCTTTGGCTGTAAGATACACGTGTAATGTTATTCCGTGTCCTGATAGGCTTTTCGTCGGTCTTTTTTGAAAATTGCGCGCTATTGTAAAGCGAATTTTCGCCACCTGTCATCTGCTGCGCACAGTTTCCTAATATACACTAGAGGGAACTCTGGTGCCAGTGTCTATGGCAGCTGCAACACATGGTGCTTCAGCGAGCGTGGGAAGGATGGGTAGTACACTTATTTGTCTGATCATCGTACATCTGGCCTTCTTCTGGCTTCGTGTGTGTTCATGTGGCTTGGAAGTGTTTTCTCATGAAATAAAAATCAAATCAGCAAATGGTCAGCGGTCGCGCTTCAACACCTTATTTTTTTAGGCTTACCATTTAGAATCACGTCACAAAGTTCAAAAGGGTTCGTTCTTTCCTTCAAAACTAAACTGTAACCAGCCATAAACGAAGCCGCAAGTACGATTCGCCACCCGCAGGTACGAATACTAGGCAAATTTGTGTACTACCCATCATTCCCATGGTCGCTGAACGATCGCAGCACCAGAGTCCCCTATAGGTAATTTTAGGAAACACTGTGATATGTTGCACATTATTGCAAGATTCCTTAGCAATGCTTGAGATCAGACGATATGGCAGTCCTTTGCTCGCACAAAAGCTTCTTCCGGCACGAACGTTTGCAGCGCTTCTTCTTTGGTGCCCCCTTGTGGTAGAATCTGTAAACGCAGTAACATATCACTGTTACTTTGTGACGGCGGTTGCTCCAACACTGCTTGAACTGCCAGATCATATCTCTAGCTCGAGAGCTTCTGTTAAGCTAACTAGCCACCACGATGTTGTTTTCCACGACAACTATGCAACTATTCATCAGATGAGAATTGTGACTTTGTGCAAGCAAACATCTTCTCTAATTTTATGCCTGAAACGTCACTCTTAATGCTTAGAGAGTGTCCTGGGGAAAACGATGGCGTAGACCACGCCTCCTACCAATGTTGCGGAGTTGCAACTCCGGGATTAGAGTGACTAAGCAATCGTTTAACACTTTCACAACCCCGAAACGGGATGGTAACAATGGTCAGAGGAATGAAATAAGCGCCTTTTGCACGGAATAGACCGAGAATGGTATTGCGTCTTTTTTTTTAAATAAAGCAAGTTTTCGTCTACGCACTGTTTTCCAAACTTGAAACATTATTAAGTCTGAACCTCGAATTCAACAAGAAAGTAACGTTTTTAAAACAGCTTGGCTGATCACATGCATGGTACATCTGTAAGCTACGCACTTAGAACAATTCTGTCCTTATATAGACTGCGCTGCTCCGAAGCACCTCTTTCTAGTAGTTCATGTTCTTGAAACGCCGCACACATATATAGTTACGTACACAGCAATTGTTTTATATCTCTTTTTGTTCTGTATTTATGAAGCAAGCATTGAAGCAGATGTCCATTCATACTTCAGGTTCTGAGAAATAATTGGCGAAGCGCTCATCTACCACATAACACTTCGTTCCAAAATTTCGGTGAATAAAACCAAAAGAAGGTTTCTTTTTGCAACTTTCGCCGGCCTTGATTGCTGCACATAAAAATCACGAGAAGAGCTAAGCACATTTTATGACGTTCTGATTGCCAGAGAACTAGTGACTAAATGCCGGGTCTATTGTTCTTCTATAAAATATTTGTTCGAGGTGATCATAATAAAATAAAGGTGTGTGGTCCCTTCTAATTTCCGGAAGCTGGTAGTGACTGTTGCTGCGTGCAGTATCTCGCTGGACGAGGCGTTTCTGAGTCTCGAGCTGAGAGGTCGTCGCACCCTTATAGCTCCGGGTTGGGGTCACTCCATTATTACCATTTTCCTGTTTCTTTGCATTTTTTCCCCCTTGTTTGCTACGACTCAGCATAAACCCAACTTGACATCGCCAATCAAATAGGACACTGGGGAGAAGCATATTTCATTCGTTACACCATATACTGTAACATCCCTCTCAAATTAGACGAGTAGGCTGAGTGCATCTTATACATATATATATATATATATATATATATATATATATATATATATATATATATATACATATTTAATTTGAAGGCCACGACGCATTCTCTAGGTACACCTTTAGAATGACAGAGCCAAAGGCAGGCGGGGTGTAAAAGTGGGTACAAGTTTGTCAATTTGTAAAAGAGAAACCGACGCATAAGTTACGGTACAAAAAATGCCTTATCCCAGCAGATACTGAACGGAGAAACGAACCCCTGCGCGTTTGTTCCCAATTATTCCCCCCCCCCCAAGGAAGTAGCGAATATTCTATGCACAGTCTGATTTTTATCTCTCGAGCAGTTTATATTACCTGAAATACATAAATTGGGACCCTCATAGCCAAGTAAACATTAAAACACTTGAAATGATTCAAAGAAAAGCAATCCGATTTGTATATAATCGTTACAGTGCTCTTACGTCCCAGTGAACTGTTAAAAAAAGCTGACTTGGATACATTGCAGGCAAGACGGCAACACGATCGATTAAAGTACATGTTTCTGCTTTACCACGACAAGCTACGCATAGACAAGCACGCGTACATAAAACGGTTCACCGCCGATCAACTCGTTCCGAGCATCCAAAAAACTGAAGGAATATTCCTGTCAAACGAAAGCCTTTAAAAACTCATTTTTTCCACGCACTGTCACTCAATGGAATGCTTTTCTGCCGATGTGGTGAACTGCGAGACCGTTCAGTCGTTCGTGGAAAAACTTAACACCAGCAACCCACTTTACTTTGATCTTTCTTTGCGCTTCGCCCTCTATTATTCCACCGCGCATCCTGAACAGGCTTCCATTTATGTTCCACTTTCTATCACTTTTCTCATATCAATGCGTTGTATTTTTGAAATGTTGCCGATTTTTGAACTGTTATATGATGTTTCTTAGTTCTGAGTGTACAGATGTTTGTCATCATAGTTTTTTTTGTACGTGTACGCGTAACCACTACAAGTGTGTAAGTACTAGCGTTTTACTTTGATGCACTAGTTCTTGATGATGTAGCTCTACGTGACGTGTTTCCTTTACTGTTGTATCTTCATATGTTTCCTTTTTTGTATCACCCACCCCTGCCTAAGGCCTCATGTGTGAGGCTGGCAGTACTTCTGAATAAATAAATACATAAATTAATTTTGCTACAAAGTTGTCATTGCAGACCTGCGCACAGACGAACAAAGAAAGTTCTGCTCACTCCAGCCATGCTTTCTTGGCGCGCTTGACAATCGTCAATACTTACAAGCACTGCAGGCCAGTGCACCGTATTTGATGCGAAGGCCCAGGGTACCCGAACGGTGCACTGTTCCAACTAATTCTAGCCAATTTATAGAGTTATGTTCCCTATTAAACGAATCTTAGTCTTCTCCGTACTACCGACCACTCTGAACGCGTGGCAACACTGGTTAGTTTTCTTGAACACTACTTTTGTCAGCATGAAAACAGGCAATGTCGTCATTAATACGTTTATCCCTAAGAAGTATCAAAACATCAAAATTTATTCAAACATAGTGATCATGCAAATACTAAATTTAGCGACAAAACTGTCCCATGGGAATTAACAAGGTGGTTGTACAGCGTGAGATATCTATAACAAAGCTACTATCCCTTGATCTTGGTAGTGCGTTTTGGGTAACCTTGCAGCTCTTAATGCATCTGATCAGCTTCATGGAGCACTCATTTTAACTCAATAGAACTATGAAGATGTCTTTGCCACATTGAGGAACGACAGGAATGGTATTGAAGTACCCGGCCATTGCGGGAGGGTGAATGGGCTAAATTATTTTTTTATTCCGACGAATTGAAAAGAATTCACTTGCGGCAAATTCTGATTTCCCGGAATGGAACGAGAATGGAATGGAGGTGCCTGTACCGCTACACTTCCTTCTACCGCGTGTTGCGACCAGGTGCCATGGAAAGTGCATCGGCACGTTACTGCATAGTAACGTCACAAAACATTACCAGCTTATCCAAGGTCGCTGCGAGAGTTAGGTGCGTTCAAAAATGAATGCTGCCAGGCGCTGGCCACTGTGCCAAAAACGAAAAGAGAATATGCGATGGAGGACATCGTAGTCATGGCTGACACGTCAAGTATTGGGTCCACTTTTTTTTTTCGTTTTCCCGAGCTCACCTCTTCTATATTGACGGGGCATTACTAGGGGCTGGCACAATAGGTAACGCCAGAGCCAAAGCATTCGAGATCAAGAGACGCTTCACGACTCTACAGTTAACCTTCGGCCACACCAAACTTAATGCGACTCTATAGTTACGGGAGGGTCGCATGCATTGTGGCATTGCAGGAGAACAAGCAGCGTTGCACACGTGAACGGCGATTCAGGCAGGTTGGTTTTCTAGGTGTTACACCCTACTACTGCCTGATGCTTTCTAAACTCATAACGGTTTTTTGAATGTAAAACTCCGGAATTCTTAGCAAGTTTACCGTCAGCGTACCTGTAAAACTTGTCGAAAAGTTTGTCGTCGTGTTCCATCTTCCTGAGCACAGCGTCCCATTGTTGCGGTTGAAGACTGGTCATGTTGTACGCATCACGCGCGCTGTACTCAAGCTCCCACTTTGGTGGCAAATCAGGATGCGCATTGGCCGTAGTCAAGTTCAGCAGGTACGTGTCGTGGTCCAGGAGTGACTGCAGGGAAAACGGTGTGTTCAGTAAAATTATTAGAAGAAACTGGACTCGTTGAACACCCACACAAAAAAAAACCTAGTCAACGTGCTTCCGTAAAAGCCTCGCCCAACGACTTATCGCACATCACACTATCGCTACGAGCTAAGTGAATACCATCGCAAAATAACTCTCTAATGATGAGCTGTATAATCCAAAATAAGAAACAAACATGGGCGCACTCGTTTATAATCGTGCTGTAGAGGCACATTAACGGAAACACCATTCCTATACTTCGTCATTTAAAACATTGTAGCTGGCGATATGCACGTTTATTGCGGTAGTAGGGACAGATGCGTCAGTCTAAGCGTTAGGAAATATTTCAGAAGAGAAAAAAAAACAAAAAATAGAAAACAGCGTTCATTTCCAATTTATTCTCAAGCACCTCGTCATGATCATCGCCTGCCCCAAGTGCAAGTCAGCGTTTTTGCCCGCGTCCCAATTTTTTTCCTCCTATATTTACGGAAGTACTTACTTAACCTGCCAACACCGCAGCTAATAAAATATCGTACTTTATTTAAGACAATCAGTATACATAGTTGCCTAGGAGATTGGCGTAAAGGCAAAGAAAGCCTGACAAAGTGTCAATCCCCTGTGTACACTCATAAATAAGCGGTTATACATGGCAAAGCAAAAACGAATGTAGATGATAGAGTTCAAACATTATAAGTTCTTTCATGCATCAAGCCATTAGACACAAAAATATGTACATATCTGTAATTAGCTCACAAAGAATGATGAGAAACCACTTATGCGCAAAAATGGCTACCAAAATAAAAAATAAATAAAAATGCAGACATGTGCCGCATATGCAAGTTACACAAGATAGGAAGATCATTCGAAGGAGGTGTGAAGATATAAATGAAGGAGCTTTATTAAATTAACGTTTTCATATTCGGGTGCTCATTAAGGAAGTGGAGAATTTCGTAAGTCAGCTCTCAAGTACCGTATTTAATACGAAGTGTATCTTTCTTGAAGCTCATGTGTCGTAAATTATGGCTGCGATCCCGCTCGTTTGGATAGATTTAACTTCAAGAAATATGATCATTGATAATTTTTATATTGAGTAATATTAACGGCTAGCATTTCATGCTTTTTTTTTCAAAAAGGGGACCGTGTGCGAACTAAAGGGCAAGAGTTAAAATAATCGCAGCGCTCGCTTTCTTTAGTTTGTATATTTAGCTGAGGTTAGTTTTCGTTGTTCCCCACATCAGAAAGCAGTAGCCAAGGCGTGAATCCGTCACTGCGTAATAAATCTGTCTTCTTAACCAGGCTGTTAATAAGTGGCGTAACGTGCAGAGTATGCCAACTGCTCGTGAGATGTTTTTTTTATAATTTACATACACATACAAGTCTAAATATTCGGGAAAGAAAATACCGAGGAATCCGAGAGACGTGACGCGATCAATAGGCTGTGCCTGAAAGTTAATAATATTTTTGTTAGTGCATGTTTTGTAAAGAATAAATTTGTTTTTTTTTAGCATACAGAGCTAAGCTGTTTACATTAAGCTATGTAGATAGGTTGTAACCACAGATTCGCTATACATTTAGGGTCGTCGATATCTCACCCAGAGAAGAATACATTCGCATCGTTGGCGTACAAAATATTGTCCGGTGGTAGGGGTATGTCTACTATGTCGCTTATGCAAGAGTGGACCAAGCATTGTCCCTTGTGGCACTCCGTATGTAATTTTATCGAATTCACATTTCGCACTGACAACGTTGGTGTATTACACACGGATTTCTTTTTTACAGTGTCTGTTCACAACCTCTGACACCGTATCTGGATAGTTTAGGCAGTAAAAATTCATGTTTAACGGAATGAAATCCTATTTTAAAGTCAAGAAAGAGCCCTATCGAGGGTAACTTTTATTCTATATTCTCCATTATACAGGGTGTCCCACATAACTCGAGCCAAGAATTTAAAATTTAAAGGCACTTAGGAGGCAAACTGAACCAAACGCAAACTACTCGAAATAGCCTATAGGTGCTCAAGCTACTTTTTATTCCTCCCATACTAAATAATAATAATTCTTATTTACCTCATTTTCCCAATTATGGGCTGGAAACCCGAAATATGAACACTGAGGTGAAGAGCACTTTCAGAAACCACCAACTAAATTGTTTCTTGTAGGATACGTCTCGCGCTGTTATTTTTTCCACATTGTAAAGAAAGCCCGCTAAACGTAAAATGAAGCCGTGTGATGGACCACGAGCGCACTGCTATAGTGCTGCTATATACTTTCTTTACAACGCGTAAAAATAACAGCGCTAGACGTATGATACAGGAAACACTTTTGTCGGTGGTTTCTGGAATTGCTCTACATCTCAGTGCTCATATTTTGGGTTTCAAGCCATAACTAAAAAATGGGTAATTAAAAATAATAATGATTAGTATTGGAAGAAAAGTTTTGGATTGGCTTTTTATTCTTGAGGGTATATGCATGATACTTCGACAACCAAAAGAAAGAACAAAACATCACATAACTTTCGCGTATATGGCTCCACAGAGAGGAACTGAATGTTGAAGAATCTACTAAATAATGTACGTAAACCAATGTATGAACAGTGCTCTAACATACGCTAAAGAAATTCGATAAGTGGCACTACAGCACCGCTTCGAGTATCAACCAAAAAACCAGCATCGTATTTGGGCATTTCACAAGCACACATTTGTAGTAAACATCTGTGAAGGAGTATTCTGGAATAACCTCATAAACAAAGTGGATTTTAGAGTACACATTAATGCCACCTCCTCTTTTGTTAGGTCTTGACACTGTTGTGCAGTTGTATCCTCGAACGCTAACTGAGAATTCATTACAAAACCACATTTCAGTGAATGCTAAGACGTCCAATTCATTATCTCAGTTGTCTTAAAAAAAGATTAACAAAATCTTGTTTGCTTCCTACGCATCGTACGTTAAGGTGAAGCTTGGTCCCAAGTAAGGCCTTGAGACTCCCAAATGAATCAGCGTCATGACAGCATGTTTTACCGTGTGCCGCCATATGCTTACATGGCACGAGAAAAAAATGGTGACAATCTTAGAGCTACCTTATGAGATCGAGGTTACTGGCTGTCTTAATTCGCATTACTCTGTCGCATTAAGCAATACACCAAAGTGCAGGTTAAGACTTTTTTTCAAAGTGGACGTATGCCGCAGTAATAATGCTGTATTTTTCTAACCATGTAGGTTGACTATGCTATTAAATTCACTTCACGTGACTTGATCACGTACGTTACAAATTTTATGCGTACCGTTCATGAACTAGGGTGTTTATACAGAGACATGCCTTGTTATTTTAACGTAAACGTTTTCGAAGTTGTATAAGCGCTTCGTGGGAATACAAGCGTGACCGCATTTACGTCAAAGTTGCATGTGACCTGCATTATAAAGGTTACATTGTAGGGTGGCCACTCTGGTGAGGCGTTAGTTTCAGTTGCACTCACCAGACAGAAAAATGACCGCGAGACAACGTCAGAGAAATCCGTATAAATTTTTGTACAGGTGTGAGCTCGTGGAAGTCAAGCGCTCCCTCTCCTTTTGCACCTCGTTTCCCGACATGCGCGTGTGCAGGCCCCACGTGGCTGAAGCGTTGGGAACCGTTGTAAATTCATGACATGAATACCACGGCTACGCCTCCACGTTTTTTCTTGACGATAGTCTTTCTTGGGGACCTTCGACGTGAAAATTTCGGTCGGTCGGTCGGTCGGTCGGTCGGTCTGTCTGTCTGTCTGTCTGTCTGTCTGTCTGTCTGTCTGTCTGTCTGTCTGTCTGTCTGTCTGTCTGTCTGTCTGTCTGTCTGTCTGTCTGCCTGCCTGTCTGTCTGCCTGTCTGTCTGCCTGTCTGTCTGTCTGTCTGTCTGTCTGTCTGTCTGTCTGTCTGTCTGTCTGTCTGTCTGTCTGTCTGTCTGTCTGTCTGTCTGTCTGTCTGTCTGTGTACATTTGTCTGTTTATTCACTCTCAACAGCATCGGGTATTTGAAACGGCCGACCCCATTTGCAGTGCCCATTTGTGTTGCTCGAGATTCGGCGTTCATACTTGTGGAAAAGTCGATTGAAAAGCCACCATTGCGCGTGCTTGGGGCATCATAACAACACGTATATACTCTGCATGTGAACTTTTTATTAGAAAAGGCATACTTAAGTAATTTCAAGAACTGTAGTGCTTATCACGCTGCGCTCACCATCCAACGCTTGCACGGAAAGGCAAGTGTTTCCAACGCTTTGCTAAAACGAGACGGTGGTGGCACCTACCCATCGCCTTACGTTCTACACCTTATCACTTCTGAGGTGGGCGCACACACCCGTCTCAGAGCCACGCCCTTTGTTTTTGAATTAAACTGCCAGATGGCGCTCATGTCTCACGTGTGACGTGACTTGATGCGGTCATTCGCCTCCACTGCGCACTCGAGGCACTCTAACACAGCGCCTCCAGAATACTATTCACCGATTTTCTTGCACAGAGCATCCAATAAATGTTTTTTTTTCACTCTCTCTACACGCAAGACAATCGTCTTTCGAGGACATTTGCAGATTAAATGCAGATACGGGGCCAATTTTTCGCAGGCTGCAAGCTATGCGTTGGTCTTCCCTGCATGGAAACACCTGTCCTAACATGTCCGGACAACGCTGGCCACACGTCGGGTTAGTGCGGTATTCTAGGCACAGTAATGTTAGCACATGACACGGCGTTCAACCAGTCTTCAATGGCCGCCTTCTCCCGTGAGCTTGCTGCCGTGTGGCACTGGCTCATCACCGCAGATGTTCGCACGCCTGCAACAAGTCATGTTCTGCCACAGCAAGCGACTTCTCTCTCGCACGTTTCGGTTGTTCCCCTCCGTGTGAGAGCTCGGAATCGATCGAGTACACCTCACGCGAGTGTACTCAATCGGTATTGCAGAGTTTCCCCAGTGGCTCGCTATCCTGTGATAGTTATAAAACCGTTAAGCGTATGAACACGGGAACAAGAAGACGACACAGGGAGTGCTGTGTGTTCCATCTTCTTGTTCCCGCGTTCGCGCGCTTACCGCTCCCAAAATGTCGCTGTACTAACTAGCTCGTACCCAGCCCCTGATCCCGTCGTTGTCGCCCTGTGCTGCATATCGGGTTAATGAACCCGTGTTTTTTGACTACCTGCATCGAGTGCCTTCACTGCACCGTGTCGGAGCTAGAGTCGAACCCGAGCGCGGCGTCTTTGTGAGCCTTGGTCGTGGAGTATGCCACGTCCCTTGCCGATCACCTCGCCGGGTAAGCTTTTCGCAAACCGATCACCACAAGCTAGAAAAAAAGCTCAATGGTAAATCATTCAATACACCTACCCAGGAAGCTCCGGGGTAACCGCCGTCCATAGTGAAAACTCGGAACGCTGGGTGTCCAGAGGTGTACGTTGTCAGGCTTGGTCCGAGATAAGCCACCCCGAGCGCTCGCTTGGTGTCCGTGGAGTCGTAGGCCACCTCAAGCTCATCATTGTGCGTGTGTCCGAAAAACTGGCCGCAGACGGTAGATTCATACCTGCGAAAAAGAACGTAAAAAAATCGAGTATTCTGTGTATTGTTTATTAAATGGTGTTCTCCGTTAAGCTAAGCATTTGAAGTACTTCAAAAGGTACAGATAAGCGGCGTTTTGATAGGGTGCTTGTTTCCGTTTTTAAGAAAGACGATGGATCACGGGCGGCCACCACGATACGTATTAGCCGCAGGTTAATTCCCGCACTTCATGTTGACCAACGTCCTTCAAACACATGTATGTGAATACTGTGAAGTCCTGCGAGAACAGAAATGTCGATGAAGTACATTAGCAAAATTTCGGTTTGAGCTAATTGGTGAAGATTCCTAATTTAAAAAATAACCTTGCGATGCAAAACTATTGCACGTGGACATAAAGGAACACCTGCTGCCGTGCTGTTCATTGGATTCCTTTGGGTCAGAGCTTTCATGTTCGCTGTAAGAGCACTTGGGTTCTTTCACGATCTGCCCCCCTCCCCGTCCCTTACAGAGTATTAGCCAGCTTTTTGATAACAATATAGGGTTATTGGTAAAACTACGGCCTATATCATTCATTGTTCGGGAATTTTTCTTTCCGTGAGCAGCTAGCTATTCATTGAGAAAATTAATGCCGCTCTTCCATGGTCAAAATATAAATACGACATTGTTAACAGATACTTAGGCCCGAACACTGCGATTTCGTTCGAGTGACCATATAAAGCTTGAAAATTGACAGACAATGATACCGAAGAAAATCTTTCCTTTGCATTATTGTCTCATAGCTTTTATTATTGTGTGTAACAAAGAAAATGGGCCCTTGAACCTTGACTTCTTTCCGTCATATAAAGCTTCCTCATCACGCCACTGACGTGATAGTGCTCCGGGCCACGCCTGCGTGGCGAAAAGCCAGAATCACGCCCACTTAGGTAGAAGCAAAATGTGCAAGGCTCAGCGCCCACAAAACATGGACAAGCGCGATTGGAAACATTGCGGTTAATATACTCGCAAGTGGCCGCTAAGAACTATGGGGTAAGCTCTGTGTGCACTTGGACTCCACGGCCCCTTTATAAGTGTTTCATGCTTGAACTCGTGATTATAGTTTCGGAATCACACCTCCAGAATTATTCAGGAGTCGATAGTCACAGTGTGCATACTAGTCATAGAAATGAAGCTCTCTGCTTATTTGCGCCTACCTACCTGCACATGATTCTGTTGAAAATGCCGGTGCATGACTGAATGGGTATCTCGTAAGACGCGATTGCAAAAGAAAAGCGGGTGAATAATACTCTAGGTCTCGCAATCTGATATTGCGAATTCACAGCAATGTTTTTACAACTGATGAGCACTTCATCGGGAGCGCTCTTGCTTGCCCCGCCGCGGTGGGGCAAGCAAGAGCACTGCTCTAGTGGCTAAGGTACTCGGCTGCTGACCCGCAGGTCGCGGAATCGAATCCCGGCTGTGGCGGTTGCATTTCCGATGGAGGCGGAAATGTTGTAGGCCCGGGTGCTCAGATTTGGGTGCATGGTAAAGAAGCCCAGGGGGTCGAAATTTCCGGAGCCCTCCACTACGGCGTCTCTCATAATCATATAGTGGCTTTGAGATGTTAAACCCCACAAATCAATCAATCGAGTGCTCTTGCTTTTATTTCATGGGTGGGCTCTAGGCGGAAACAATTTTCTACCATGCAAAGGACCGGTGGATGCTAAACCACTCCACTCAGGCTTTTTTTGGATAAGATGCGTCAAACCACCCTCACGCATCTTTGCGGGCCCACCTTTAGTCCAGAGTACCTAAAACCTACCAAGCGCCTGGTCGGAGTACTGCTCTAAATATTAAAAATTAAAGATGGGTAGGCGGTCGCCCATGGGCACCAAACATATACCTTACCTCATTAGAAAGGGGTACATTAACGTTTCGCCAACGCTGCGGCATAATACGTACGTAATATCATGGTTTCGGACTTACACATCAGCCGGATTTATTTATTGACTATTCAATGACTTTCGCCAACAAACGCACTGTGAGGCAACATTAGTCTATTACGACTCTGAACCAAGTTTTGCTGATCTGAGTTTCTCTGCGCAAAACTTTGTGAACAAGATTCACGCACTAAGAGTTGCAAAATTTTCCCTTGGAAAACGCTATGTTTGTCACTTTTTAGTATTTCTCTGATGTAGCACTAAAATGCTTGCCACGTAGCTGATTTACCTTTCCAGGATGCGATGGTAGTTCTCACTCCATACGTGCAGGCAGTCAGACCCACCAGGAGGAATGTGCGCGATGATGTGAACCTGCGCGATGCCGTAAGAGGTATCAGGATGTTACGTCGTCACAAAAACAATGGACGCTGAATGCTCATCTTTGGGAAAAATGGAGCATTATTGAAGCGCGAGTCCTCAGTGCCAGTGGTACTTGCAACGCTCTGGCAAAACGGGACAAAGAAACGACAAAAAATTTCAAGCGCAATCATGACAGTAAACAAGAATATTTTGTCTTCTTTCGGCGGTCAACTAACTTTCCTTGTGTTACAGACTTCACTCCAGCATACAGGTGTGTTGCCGTGGGAGTATATGGCGTTCCTGGTTACCGGTAATTTAAACAGGAGCTCAAGCTTAGATGTATTTTGCTTCAGTGGTATCTGAGTGCTGCTTGCAATATAGGGTCCTTTTTTTATCAGTCAGTATACTCGAATGAACCCCACCACGATAGTCTACAGTTGGCTATGGCACTCGAATGCTGACCCGAAGGTCACGTGATCGAAACCCGACCACGGTGGCTGCATATCCGATGGAGGCGGAAATGTTTTAGGCACGTGTACGTAGATTGAGGTACACATTAGAGAACCCCAGATGGTTAACATATCCGGCGCCCTCTACACGGCGTCTCTCATATTCGCATAGTGATATTTAGACGTTATAACCCTAGATATTATTAATAATCTTAGTGTCCTCGAATCGCAGCGTACATACCATAGTATGTGAAAATTGCAGTGCTGAATCATCATGCTCACTCACTTTGGGCAAACAGATTTGAGGTTTAAACAGTCTTGGCAACGTTGAGAGCAAATATTCATAGGTAAAAACGCGTCTCTGTTTCATTTTCATTTTTTCATCCACTGAGCGGCTAATTTGCTTTCGGAGTCGACCAAAGGGAACGAGATGGGGGAGTGCTTCGGTAACATTCTGTTCCCCTTAACGTAGATCCTTGCGTACGGCAATGCGAATTATTGTTGAAGAACCTATTTCGTTTGTTTCGTGGTTACGAACTGATCCATATTGTAACTGCGCGCAAAACAGACGGGAACACTAAAGGAGAGAAAATGAAAGACAAGCGCATGCTATTAACTGAAGCGTTATTGCAAGTGGCCATACATGATAAAGACTTGAGCTACATTGGTTTTGCATTACGGGAGTGCTGTGCTTGATGTGGTCGAGGTTTTCGGTGATGTGGTTCCTCATGCCTTTTTTTTCTCCTCCCCCTTTGCCTCCTCTTGCTTTTTATTCTGTCAATTATAAAGCCTCGTTCTTGCAACAAAACTTCAGTTGATGTCTTCGCTTGTCTGTTCTTTTATCTTTTTTCGTGTTTACGTTCGTTTTTTGCGCAGTTACATTCGAGATCATTAACAACTCGCTCAACTTACCACTCTTCTGATGCTACCTGTCCTTAAATGCATGGCATCAGTATTTCTGCAGACTGCACTGCTTTGTATCTGCATGACGTACGTTCGAAGAACCGCGCAGATTCGGTGAGTAAAAACATTAAAATTTAGGCTTCAGCAATACTGTTGCCATCCACAACACAGTGCCACACTGACCCTCTGCTTTCTCAATGCACTTGACATATTGCACTTGTAATACTGATGCCATAACCAAGTAGAAAACTTTCCTGAATGCCACATATGAGCAATTTTTCAATAGCACGCCTATAAACAGCCACATAAACGTGAAGGTAACCGGAATACTCATAGCCTTCTAGGACAAACGAAAGCCATATTTATAAACGCCATCTTCTCGAACAGTCCTTTAATGGAGCGTAGCACAAACTAAGATTTTTCTCATACTCATCCCTTTTATTTTTGTGCACTCTCTTGAGCGTTTCACCTCCACTGGACGCTCGCTGTTTTAGACTACTCGTTCAAGACAGTAAGCGCTCTGACTAATAAATTGACAGAACATTGAACTTACACCTATTGAAAATTATCGTATTATTCACTTTTTTTCTCTCACTGTGGATATGAAGCTCTATATTTATATTAGCTTTTGCTTTTGAAAAAATAACGTTTCAGCTTCAACATAATTTGTTTGGTCATTTGGTTGCTTGCTTGCTTTTTGTGACACACAGCAATGGTGCAAAAAATTAGAATACCCTAAAGCTTTGCATTTAGGAGTCGAACGTGATAGTGACATTCTGTTCCTAGTGCGTACTTCATACACTTGGTGCATGAAACCTTTTCGAACTTGCTATGCACCCACTACGTGGCCTCAAGAGAATAGGCGACGTAGCATGTGTGTATTTTAAAGTGGTTGACCGGCTGTAAACAACGAAGCCATTAGGATAGTCACGTGCTCTAACGCCCGCTGGCATGGGCGCTCGTACCACGCATTATTACTGATATATTTCATGTTGCGTTCTCAAGCATGTATACAGGACACGTATGTTTGTAAAGCATGAAAAATACTTGCGCTGCATTTTCAAGCAGAGGAAGTTCTTTTCCCTGTGCTCACAAGCAGACGCGTGGACGTGTGGTATGACATTCGCTTGCCACACAAACGATGTGGGTTTGATCCCCACTTGAACCCAAATGACCCTGGTTGGATGCCCTCTCTAATCCAAAATTTTTTATTATTTATTTTAGTTCCATTGTTCTCAACATTTGGTCATGCGTAAGATGAGTTTTCGTTCACAGCCAACGACACCGACGCCGGACTTTCTACGAGACGAGCTTTTTAACGCTATTGCGTAATATAGGCTGTCACAAACTGAAGTCACAGGACGTTGTGTACTTTTTAGAAACAAAATTCTTACTGTGCAGCTTTCTTTCAAATGTGTCATATACGATTTTTATTAGACACGTGAATGGGAAAACAACCTACACGAAGGTAAAGAACCTGATGCACGAAGTGTGTCAATGTTTTCAGGCCAGTATCAGCAATAATTCCTGTTGCCTCGAAACAAACTCTCAGCAAGTCCTTCTCCCCCTTTTTAGCAACACTTTTCTCGGGAACAAAAGCGTTCGCTGAAAATGTCAATTTCATGCTGTTCATTCAACGCTTTCCTTTTATTGCGATAGCAACTATACGAACAGTCTCGGCTGGTTTTTTCCGCTGTCGTCGCCACCGCTGGAGTCACCGTCATTCACTTATATGTTTGTATATATATATATATATATATATATATATATATATATATATATATATATATATAGGAAAAGATGAGCTTGCCCCGCCGCGGTGGTCTAGTGGCTAAGGTACTCGGCTGCTGACCCGCAGGGCGCGGGTTCGAATCCCGGCGGCGGTGGCTGCATTTCCGATGGAGGCAGAAATGTTGTAGGCCCGTGTGCTCAGATTTGGGTGCACGTTAAAGAACCCCAGGTGGTCTAAATTTCCGGAGCCCTCCACTACGGCGTTTCTCATAATCATATAGTGGTTTTGGGACGTTAAACCCCACATATCAATCAAAAGATGAGCTAGCCTTTTCTTTCTGTGGAGCGAAATTCTTCCCTTTTCAGCTGCGGTCGTCTGCGCGTACGCTTAGCTCATGAGCAAACAATGGGGGGGGGGGGGAGGTGCGCTCATGCTTGCCGCGATAACACGGCAATGATCAACTCATGGCTTGTGCCTCCACAGCAGGCGGGAGCTTCTACAGGCTGCGCTCTCAGCACGAAATAAACGATGCCAAAAGTGTACCTGGAGCGGTTATGTTGTCGTAAACCAGCGCTTTGTAGAGTTACGCGAGTTTGGATCTAAATGAATCGACTTCCAGCCTCACTTCGTATAACACTGATCTATCGCTATCACATTCATTGCTTCACCTTTTCGTTGAAAGTGATTTTGTGCAGTCAACCCTGCTACAGTCACGAACTGCACTTGACTGCATGCGCACGAGTATACTTAACCACCGGAAAAGCTTCTTGAGAGGCAGTTAGGTATCCAGCGGCTGTTCACGTTTGGTAGGTTCTGCAATCTATTTGTCGTAAGCTATTCAAGCCTGATACGCAGCGGAAGCATCTGAAACGTGTGGCACTCAAAAAACCACATACGTGGCCTGTAATTCTCTTTACTGTGTGTTTCCTTGTTGGAGTCATCTACTGTACCAGTGCCGCCGGAAACTTGGTTACATAGCTAGCGCATGCTTACTGCACTTACTGTTGCTCGTAAAATACTAGCCTTGGTTCGTAAAACATTCGAGTATGTTGCTATCACATTCATTGCTTCACCCTTTTGGCGAAACTGTGGCTTACTTGTTATGTCATTGTTCGCCATTAGCAGCCGTCACAGTACACTGTTCCGACCTGGCTTGCGCTGACTAAGCCCACTTATTTGGAATAACACCTGAATATGATCAAATGAAAGTTTTACAACTCTTCATGGCCTGCCCTAAATTCCTCAAGTGAGCAAGGCGTCAAACAACTTAAACAGTTGTTGACATGTTCTCGTGTAAGGCATCCTGCATTGAATTCAATTGCATAATAAGCCAGTGCCACGGAATTGCTCTCATACGCCATGAAACACCTCATAAAACACATTTGTGGGCTGCAGTTTTGGTTCCTACCACTGCCAAGTTATCACTAGTCCACGTGAATCTCTTTCTGTGTATATCCTAATAAATATGCTACAGTTAAGAACAACAAATAATTTCCCACTTGACCTCATTAGCTTCACCGCATGCTAGATTGTTTAAGCTCTATCTAACAAAAACGTCAACCTTTTACCTCTTCCATTTATTTAGTCCATTCGTGGCAAGGATCGCATTTTGGCTGACTTAACGCGTTCAATTAGTACACGAGGATTTATTGGTGAGCTCTATGCCATAGCGGTTTTGGCTCGATGCACCAGCAGCGAGATTCTTGCCTGTGCCTGCCCACACCGACTACACTCTTCTACATTCTTCTACAGCGGGCGAAGTGCAGTGTGGGCTGAGACAATCTCGCATCGCTAATTGGCCACGTTCCCAAGGATCATCATTCTGTAACTTCCCGCAGCGTTTCGAAATTCTGGCACCATCACGCTGAATAACGTTAGGTCGCGAAGTATAGCAGCCTTCAACGTGCAAGGAGCATGCGTTAGGTGGTGGTGGGATGAGTAGCGAGTACTGTTGATGTGCCAAAGAGTAGAGGACCTGAAGTTCTTATCAAGGGATCATTCAGAAATCAGTGCATTTACCTGTCTGGTAACGCAGTCCCAGCAGCCACGCTCGAGCAAAGAAAGGCGGATTTACAAAGCAAGCTTCCATATTAGGAATGTGTACATGACGACGAATGCGCACCTTTATACACCCAACAGCCATGGAAAACGTTCGGAAGGGTGTTTGCTTATTTTCTACGTCTATATACACTTCTAATATTTAGAACATATACATATTAATAAGATACAGAAGCTGAACTAGCGAACTTTGGACGGAGAAGAGCATGGTTTCTGCGCCGCCTCAAGCAGAGAGCCCGAGACGAGCAACTGCTAGTTGTCAAGACCACCGATCGAAAGGCCTCCACCTGGCTCGTATTGATCTCTTTCCTTTTCGCTATAGACTTGGGAAAGGAGAACTGTTCGAATATTCGTATATCCATCACTGAGCGGGGTATCATGTCTAGCTGAAAACTTCGAGGCGAAAAACGAAGTAAACAATTATTTCACAAGCCTTCTTCGTTGTAGTTTGTACGAAACAAATGACATTAAGGCTGACAGTGCGATATTCCGAAGACGTCACATTCGTATTCACCTTTTCGCCTTTGTCTTCCGATTCTTGTAGTTCGTCCACGAGCCATGCGAGCTGCTGCGCCGGATCCGTGGCATTTATCAGGAGCCACCTGCGTTTTCAGAAAATGATGAATGCACGGAAATGCGGAAACAATGCGTAGCGTGGATCTGGATAAGTTCTCTTACGCGATGCTGAACAAATCCATTCCGCACCACGTTGCACGGCGAGATGAAAATACGAGCGCGTATACAGTCTAGCACGTCGTGCGCATTACAGACATGATGCACTACATCCAGGAAATGGCAGCAAGTGCCCGCCTTGGTAGCTTAGTAACTCAAGAGTTGCGCTGCTTAGATCGAAAGGCTGGCTTGATTCCCGGTCACATCTGGTGCGTATTAATCGAAGACAAAATAAAAGAACACCCACGAACTAAGGGCTCATGCTAAAAAAAACCACGAATGGTGAAAATGAATGCGAAGTTCCCTCTTATGAGAAAGATATTGCACCTCACATAATCCACGAGGTTTCGATAGGTAAAGCCCCATAAATTCTGGATTTTAAAATAATGTCTGCTAGTGCGTGGCGATGCGGGTCAGCCCGAGCGCTCACAAAGGTACCACGTTGACTTATTGACACATTAATCGGCATAATTACTAGAGCTATACTTCTGCCGTGAAAGATTTAAACGCTATGATAAACAATAGAAACGCAAGAGCTACTAGTGAAGATACAAATTATACGTGAAGAAGTTCTGTCACTCCTTAAATACAAAGATTGTAATGAAAGTTGTTAAGTACATATAGGATATTACCAAGCGGTAACGACAAAATGGTGTATATAAAATAATTTTGTTTACTGAAGTCTCATAGCACTTGTGCACGACGTCCACTTATACCATCTACTTCGAAACACGCATGTATACAGTGAGTGCCCATAACAATGTATAAAAGCATGTCGAAGTGGCACGACGCAGCTGCCTTAACTTGAAAAAATAGCAACAAAACGCCACTTGAGTTCGCGGGATCAAAATACAGATGGCAAACATGGAAAGACACACATCAAAAAACAAAGTTATAAAAACAATTATCAGAATAAAACGCTGGCAGAAGCACGACTTCGTTACAATTCTGTCAAAATACATTTGTCATCACATACCGAGTGTACTAGTTCGTTATGAGCCTGCTGGTAAAAGTAAAGCAATGCTGTGCTCCTACCTATATATTTGAAGCCCATTCACTATCTTTAAAGCAATAGCCATATCACCTTCACAGTGTTCAAATAATGCGTCAAGCTATCGTCCCTTCATTCATATATTTCACAAACCAATGCCAAGCATATCGACTAGTACGCCTGCCCATATCACACACTTTACCCGTGCCTTCTTTCTTGACTTCAACTAATAATATACTAGCTAATCGTAAAACGACACACCAAATATCCAATATTCGCCATATCAAATACTGTAACTGCAAATACAAGGTAGGTAAACTTTGATAACGTATCAAAATTGTTATAATGCTTGCTCTGACCTGGGAACCCCATACATACATCTCACCCGTTTTTGTTTTCGTCACGCCGCATCTCAATAACTCAGAGGTTAAACAAGTTATCTTGTATAGTCTCATTGAACAACATTAGCCAAAACAAGGGACTAGTTGTTTGCTTCGAAACATGGAGCGTCCAGGGTGGTGGAATCAACACAGCTTACCAGTTCAAGGTGCTGCAGTAATTCGTATTCACAGAGAGGATCTTGAGTCCTGGGTACGGTCTCGCTGAATAGTAACCAGCCCTAAAATGCAGACAAAATTTAGCATTCGCGTTGGTATTATTCATTTCCAAGCTTTTTTTTATACGCTGCTTTCATAGACACATAGATACAACCCATCAAACATTTATCAACATTAATAATAATAATAATAATAATAGTAAGATTATTATTATTATTATTATTATTATTATTATTATTATTATTATTATTATTATTATTATTATTATTATTATTATTATTATTATTATTATTATTATTATTATTATTATTATTATTATTATATCTTCGGTGTCGCGTCTCAAAATGACTATCTAGTTATGAAGCAGGTCGTGCTGAAGGGCTCCAAGAACTCTAGCCACTTAATATCATCTAACGTGCATTGACAACGCACAGAACAAAGGCCTCTCACGTTTAGCCCCCATCGAAACGAGAGTGCACTGGCCGGAACTAAATGCGTGACCGTCAGGTTGGCTAACGAGCACTGTAATCTTCAAGTAATTTGAGACAACTTCCATGGAGCGCGTCTTTAAAGCAGGATAGCCGCAAGAAAACAATTGCTTTCGAATGACCGAAGCCACCCATCTTCGATGAACTAAATCAACACAAGGATTTGTCTGTGGAGCATTGGGGTCCGGGGGTGTTACTGATGATGGCACGTTTGCTACAAATGGTCACGAGAGATTAAAGGTGTGGCGTCAAGATCACCATCAGTAAGACTTTGAATGCTTTGAGTTGTAATGCCCTTTGAAAAGACGCGTGCCTGAATTGGATCACTTAGTCCTGCTGTTGTAAACCACATGACAATATTAAGAAGATAAGACGACGAAAACTGAAAGAATAAGCGCTAAAAATTAACGAGCATGAAAAGGCGACCAGACAAAAGACTGGCGTTATATATAAGGGCAACTGGTAGCACCTGTTTTTTGCGTGTGGCTGCGAACCAATTTTTTGGAGGCCCTAGGATACCGCTCCAGACTAAGCGCATTTCATCTCGGCTCGCCTGGCTTCGGCAGGTCTCAAGTTTCACCCATCGCCGAACGGGGGCAATAAAATTGACCACGATAAATTGACCAAAACAAAATCAGAGTGGCTTTGTTGAAGTCTTTCCTCGCGGACGCCGAAACTTCCCCAGAGATGCTGTAGCAAGCACGAAATTCAAAGTGAAGATAACCACTATTTTCGCAAAAATATACTGCTCTTTTTTGCACCATTGAACGGTAACGCTTGAATCCCGCGTTGTGCGTGGTATATTTGTGAGCATTCAAATTTGCTGTACAGTGATCGCGGTACATACTTCACACATTCGACATCATCGACCTACTATGTGACTTCCAATGTGGATTCTCTTATCGTGACGTAGGCGGAACGTAAAAACCTACGCCACCTCTGTTTGACCGGGGCTGCTGACGAGAACATTCGCAGTTAGTTTTCATCCGACGACTGGCGTGATCTTCGGCGTTCCGTTTTCTTTCTAGCATCTTTTTATTCTCCCATACACGTCTCTGCAGTTGTTGTAGATAGTCGCAGAACTGCTATAAGAGGCTGCAAGAACTGTTCTACAGGCGAATTGATTGATTGATATGGGGTTTAATGTCCCGAAACCACCGTGTGATTACGAGAGATGCCATAGAGGAGGGCTCTGGAAATTTTAACCACCCGGGGTTCTTTAACGTGTGCCCAAATCTGAGCGCACGGGCTTACAACATTCCCGCCTCCATCGGAAATGCAGCAGCAGCCGGGATTCAATTCCGCGACCTGCGGGTCAGTAGCCGAGTATCTACTTAGCAACTAGACCACCGCGGCGGGGCGATATACCGGCGAAGGCATCAATCTGTGCAAGTTCTACGATGATTGCAGGAGGATTTTTTTTTTGCCAGTGCGCGCATATTTGTTATTTTTTGTCGGGATTTCATTCTGAGGCCTCGTTACCGCTCTCGGCGTTGTGTATTTGTGTACTGCGTTACATTAGCACCAATCCTACACGTGTTGGAATTCTTACGCTTGTGTTGACTTTCTCTCCAACGTGATTTTCTGGCGCAAAACCCCGCCTCCTTGTGTCCTCAGCTTGACCGTGGTATATGCAGTAATGAAATAAATAGTGGGAGTGATCAGCCGTGCTCAGCGAAAGCAAAAGCGGAAGTTCGAAGCTTTCACTGAAACACTTTACACTAATTTTTACGACTGTTCTGCAATTATAGTTCATACAAGCTTTTCTGTTTGTTCAGCCTCTGAATCGTAGGCGTGCTATTTGCGAACTCTTAATAATGGTTCTTGCACGATAGATTTATTTTTTCATTGAAACATCATTGCTGTTTTGCTTTCAATAAATAATATTGTTCTCTGTACTCACTCTTGAATATTTTTTACTTGTGCCAGCTGCGAATATATGCCTCTCCGTACCACGTACCCTTTGTATTCGCAGGTGCTGTGTCCCGAATGGCGTTTCAGCATGCTGCTGGACGTATTCACACGCTTAAAGCAAGCGGGCGCAAGATAACGAGACACCCCGCAGCCCTACGCGACTTCCGGTCTTTTTGCCCCGCTGCGATGTTCTTTCTAGTAGCTAAGGTACTCGGCTGCTAGCCCGCAGGTTGCGGAATCGAATTCCGGCGGCGGCGGCTGCATTTTCACTGCTATAGGCGAAAATGCTGTAGGCCCGTGTGCTCAGATTTGGGTGCAAGTTAGAGAAGCCCAGGTCAACGAAATTTCCGGAGCCTTCTAGTACGGCATCTCTCATAATCATATCTTAATTTCAGGACGTTAAACGCCACATATCAGTCCCGGTATCTTTCGTTCGCTTCTGTTTAAAAGGAACAGTCATGAAATAAAAATCCAGCCGAGGCACCCGCGTATGCGCATACGCACCCGCCCCAAAATAAAAAGGGTGGTCATTTACTTTTTTACCTAAAAAACAAAAAGACAATAAATTTTGTTTTCCGCTTCCTGCTTAATCTTTGCCTTTTTTGGGTGCCCTCGATATAGTTCAATGCGCCACCACTGCTTATCTTTCAAACTGTTGTCAAGGCTGTAGTTTCCCTCCTCTAAACTGGTTCTTTATTCTTTGAAATCACTTTAGGAGCATTTTATATCAAGATAAAGGCTAGTGCAGGCATAAGTTAAGCAACGATGTACTTGTAGGCTTCCTAATTTAAAGGTACCAGTTAACATGCGCAGCTGCATGTGATTCGTATCTTCTTTCGCGAGGCTGGAAACTTGTCAATTTTTTTGTAAACTTAGTTTTTTGACAGTCCTTTTTTTCGGCATGACAGAGTGAAAAATAAACTTTATTTACTTGATTTCAATAATCACAACAGACTTCAGAATAAATAATTCATCTGTCTAAACTGATATAATGTTGTACATTGGTGTCTCTTTAGGAGCCAAAGACTTCACAGCACCATGAAGAGTAAAAATAATAATCTTGGCCGTACATAGCTGCTCGAAGCATCTCAAGACGATGTTTACAAAAATACGCGAAGAAACAGCGTACCTAAACAATACAAAGGATGATAAGACGATCAACATGACTGCCTTTGCTTTTTTTTCTTTCTTTTTTTGCTTATCATATGTGCTCTTTCATCAGTACGTATTGCCGACCAGCCTGCGTTAGCACAGTATTCTTATTGACGCCATAATGTCATACATCCTCCAGCGCTTGCGAACAAATGTGAGGCAACCCAACTGCCTTTGAATAACGTGTTGAGAGGCGTTTCTGCCACCAGCTTACCTTCGTACAGTGTCGGTGGCCGAGGGAGGCAGCCATCGAGACCACTGATCAGCGAGGGCGTCGATTATCCAAGAGGCTGACATGTTTCCTTTTTCCTCGGGTGGCGGGAAACTGTGGATGGCGAGTAAAAATATGAAATGGTGTCCGCACAGTCACACTCACAACTTCGACTTTAATGGAGCATTGTTTTTACATTTGCGTGGCACACACAAAAACAGGCCCATTTGCGAGAAGGCGGGGGCGGGGGGGATTTTGCACGTTTCACTGGTTTCATACATTCAAATCAGGAGAGAAAACTGACCGTCTAGTTTTCTTTTACCTTTTTGCGCCTGTGTTAGCGCAGTTAAAACCTTTCGCAATGAAATCGAACCGATTAGCTTAACATTGAGTACTACTGCATGCGTCTTGCTAATAGAGTGCCAAATCGCCCTTTTTAAACAAGTTTGCACGGAATTGTGGCATCGTATTCGCACACCTTCGCGTTTGCAATAAAACAAGCCTCAGGTACTAGTTCAGTACTATGCCCTGTGTACTTCTTTTTGCTTGCGTTTCATCTTTCGCGCTACTTCAACTATAAAACTGAACCACTCCGCCCAGGTATGCATTCCTTTTGCTGTTTTGATGGAACATGCTTTGAGACCTATGAAACTTACCGAAACTCTATGAAACTTACGCGAAACCTATGAAACTTACGCGAAACATGAAAAGTGAGCGGACGCACAATGAGAGCTATTCAGTGCAATGTACAGCTTGAGAAGGTGCGCTGTTTAGTGGGGCCCGCACCGCGAGGGAAGTTTCGCAGAAGATTGACAGAAATATGCCTGATTCCTCCGTCACAGAAAGAATCAATATAAGTTGACAATGACCCATGTCCTAACAGGGGTAGTCCATATACATTGGTCTACACAATGAGTAGATTGTTCTTTATATATATGTATATGTATATGTGCGGTGTGTGTGTGTGTGTGTGTGTGTGTGTGTGTGTGTGGTGTGTGTGTGTGGTGTGTGTGTGTGTGTGTGTGTGTGTGTGTGTGTGCGTTGCTAATTCGGAGTACGTTCTGACATTTTTTGTATTACTTTTAAATGCCTAATTAGGCATATATTGTTGCCTATTTTTTGAAGCAACGAAGCTGGGCGAGAAATTCAAGCAGAAGGTTGTTGAGCACTTGGCCAAACGTCTGATGAAATGCATTATAACTGTTTATCTATTATAAAGCATTCGTGGTTTTCGGCTTAGTACAGATGCCCACGAAATTTAAAAAATCACCATGTGATATGCCCGCTCGCGCGTCTTCAACGCTTCCAAACATTTTGCGAGCAAATAATTGTGTACATCAGCTAAGAGTACTCCCTCGACAGAGCAGTGACCTCGGTAGTGGCAGTGCGACAATGCATGGTTTGCCAACGGGAACGCAAACAATAACCGCTGCATCTGTATATCGCCATCATAAACCATCGCAAGGAAAGCATATCGTTTTTGTGCTGTCAGGAAGCACTGCAGTCACGGCGCGCATATATGCGTGAAAGAGGGCATGTCACGCGGCATTCGTTGTATTTCGCGGGAATCTGTAGTAAGCTGAAAAACAGGAATACTCAATATATAGTAAGTAATGAAATGTCTGGTCTGATGCTTTCCAAACTTATTAGCAACCTTCTCACTGGCATTTCTCGTCCAGCTTTGATAGTATGTAGGCAACTATACATGGCTATTTATGCATTTAAAAAGAACAGAGAAAATACCTTGACGTACTCAAACAGCAACCTCCGCTTGGTCGCGTGCTTATAAATTGCGCCATGCTATTTTAAAGAGAAAGAGAGAGAGAAAAGAGAAAAAATGCAGACTCGCGTTAGAAATAGCGTGGACATTCTGTGTATTCCGCGTGCCTTCTATGCAATGTGGAAAAAGTGGCTATACATGTGTCCCATCGTAAAGGAAAGAATTCAATCGGTGGTTTCTCAAAATTCTGCACATGTGTACACTCTAAGCCAAAAATGGCCAAAATGGGAGCAACGGCTGTTTTTACTCCTTCAGACCGACTGTTACTCTCCGAAAAGACCAAGCGGAACAAGATGGCCGACTTGTTCGAGAATGGGGAGCAACTGTATTCATCTTAAGTTTGTAAGGGAGCAACGGAAGGAGGAACCGCTGTAAATGCTCTCGTCACGCAACGGTTACTCCCCGGCAGGACACCGCACACAAATATGCATGCCGCCCACATTGATATTCATGGGCCAGATTATTGTTTGTTCTGTGTGCCAAACTTCACCAAACCAAAACAGTGATTTATTTTAGCATCCGTAGATAATAAGATAGCAGCGCTGGCTGAACACAGAAGGCCTGAGAATACAGTACGGCAAATACCTAACACACGCAGCAGCAGAATGGAGAGTTGGCACGTCAAAGCGGACCGAACGCCGAAACACGTGCAAAACAACGATAAAAAAAGCCTAGACACGCCGTTCGTCCGCGAAGTAAGGGCGTCAAAGTCGATCAAGCACCGAAACACGTGCATAAGGAGCCCCCCCCCCCCCCGCCCAGATATATCGGAGAAGAAAAAAAAAAAGCGGACCCAGACGCGCTTCTCATCAGCCATACACTTAGTAGCACGCTTCACCGTGTAGTTTGAGGACAGAATGACAAATCTGCGCCATCTGCGCCCGCACGACAAGTGTGGCGCTAGTGTAGCAAACGATGTAAGTTACAAAGTAATTTTTATTCAGTGTTTATGTTGACTAGCACTAAATAAAAATTACACTCAACTTTTATATTTATTTATGAGTTTTAGTGTACCTCAGTTTTTTTTTATAATTGTATTAGGAGAACACACTGAAATTATTGCGCTGACGCCTGTGCTGCCACTGCTCGACCGTTTTTTTTTTTTTCGGCGCAACTAGGTTCGCGTTCGCACTACTTACTCATTTTCATATGGTCTGTGGTTGGCGAGCACATGGACGTGCGGGCTTGTGAGCTATGTTTTGATCGTGTGTGTGTGTCGCAGATTTGCGTTTCTACTTATTCGTGATGAAGGTTAGTGTATATTTATCTTTATGGAGCGCGAAGTAGTTGTGGATTTTGCTGCTGGGTGGAACAAACACATCGTAAACACGTCTTCAGCTATCTGCAAGCCTGTTCGCTCGTCGGACAAAGGACTGTGCATGCATCAGCGTGCAGGTGAGTGGCATTTCCAGCAACATTTAATGCTCTTACAATACATTGTTGAGTGGTTGCGCTATTGAAAGAGAAATGATTTGCTCTTATTCACCGTATCCATTGCTAGCCGTATCGGACTAAATTACCTCTATTACCGCCTGCATACCCTCTTGCTTCCCCTGTCACCACTGCAGTGCCAGTGTACTTTTGCAGTTAAAAGTTCATTTCCGCAACACTACCTCGCTTGAAAAAACATTGGGGCGGGGTTGTAGCTGCATTCATACTGGCACTTTTCTACCATTGGCTTTATGTAATGTTAACGGCTGAGTGTTGGGGCCTTGGGCCGCATTTTTTAGAGATGTAAAGTGTATGTAAATCAGTAAGTGAACAAATCATTGTCGCATCACTTCACTGGCATAGCCAGGCGGTTGCGCACAGAATTTTTTAGGCCGGGCGTAGGGAGCCCAAATTGACGACCATATTCGCTTGCCCGGCCTATTCAGATAAGCGGACCCCCCCCCCCCCCCTCTCCGCACGCCTAAAAAAAAACAAAAATCTGTCCACATCACTGCGTCACTTGCTTCACCTCTGCGCTGAACGTACTATTTTATAAGCGCACCATCAAGCGAGAAGTTTACGTATTGACAGAACAATTGGAGGAGGAATGACCCAAATCTTTCAGATTTTTTTAGTGATGCAAAACCTTAGCAAAACTGAATATTGTAAAAGGACAATCATAAATGCTGTATGTTCTCGTTAGCGCTGTCATTATTCTGCATCATGAAATCTTTATGCGCTGTGAAAACTTGGCATGCCGTTGAAGTCACATATCGACGTTAATACCAATCGACGAAAATTTCGACAACCTCAATAACGCCGTTTGGGATTTGCCGCATGCACATAATTAGGCTGATTCCCACTTGGCTGTTCTTAACCTGTCTTCACTGCTACCAAATGAAACAATATTTGATGCATGTCTTTTACTTTTTTTTTCAGGGATATGACACAAATTTGGTTATACTGCAGATAAAGATGCTCCCAACGATGCTAAAGTACAGAAAGCAAGTGAATTTTGGTAAGTGCAGACTTTTTGTACTACGTATATGAAAGCATCGCTTTTTAGGGGCAAACTGTGCATGTGTTGGCCAGAGAATAGTTCATTATGCCACATGGTTACACTGGCACTGACAATTCGACATGGCTCCGCTGGCCCGTGTGTGTGCTAACACTGTTACCGTTAAGATAAAATGTTTATGTTTTCATTGCAGGGATTGCTGTTTGTACTAAAAAGCCAACTGCCAAGATTTGTTTACGCTGGTACTCCTAAAAGTATGCTTTCCCTATTTACATGGATTTTGGCTTGCACAAAGCATAACACTTGGGCCTAGATTCACAAAGCTGTCCATGCGCAGGCCTTCATAACAGCGTTTCTTGACTTGCCTTTACCCTGTTTTCTGCAGATGTTTCGTGGGTTTAAAAGTGCCACAGCATGTTGACCTCCCCCACTCTGAAATATTCGCGTTCAAAGTTCCGCAAGAGTGGGCTTAACTTTCTTGTGCACCTCTTTGCTAGTCCAAGATACTGAAGTGTTATGCTCTTACTAGAGGTGGCAGTGTTTCTAATGTTTGTATTTCCATCACATTGACCAAGTATGCGATCTTGGCTTGACTGGTAGCACATCCTCAACAAATGTCTTTGTGGCACATGTAGAAGGCAGTACAAAATAAATAGGCAGACATTCACACCGGGAGCTAACTTCTAATAATGCTTTTTTTTTTGGAAACCATGGTGTGCTTATTCCAATTTGTCTAACAAGCAGTAACCTGTTTGGCTGTGAACCAACAAGACGTTGAACTAATAAAAGCTTCACATCTTGTTGCTCTCAAATATATATGTATTGGCAAGCTATCTGTGACACTGTCAAACAAAGAATCAGAATATCTGTGCATGCCTTAAGATATATTGCTTCGTTTACATATCTCGTGGCTGTGACTCGTCAACCGAGTGAACAAATGCACCCTAGTTTTCTAAATTTAAAGCATTTTTTGAAGGTAGCACGGTCTACATTTATTTGTCTATAGTTTTGTCCAGCCGTTTGCGTCAGGTACAAAGAAATATACTGAAGATTATCATGTAGCCTCTGCAAATGGTTGCTTTCAAGCAGGCTTTGCATGCTTGGCTTGTGCCTACAGGTATTGCACAATTCAAGACGCAGCAGCGTATGATAGAACAGTAGAATCGAGAGCAACTATGTGCACGAGCTAAATAAGTATTTTAACATGAGCGGACGGTACGTGTTATTTGCCACACACATGACCTCATTTAGAATGCCCATTGGTGAATGGGCTCATAGAAATGTCACTCAGCTGTGTATAGGAAACAAGTTAACTGAACCTAAGGGTATCTTTAACTGCTACAAATATGCCTTGTTGAGGTGCTGCACATTTTCTTCCAGAATATTGCTGTCTGAGACATCATGTGAAGAGCGTCTACCACATCAGCATTTATATGGCTTGCCAAGTAACGTTTGGCCGAACCTTCCTTTTTTTCACATTTCGTTTTGCAGTAGACATCCTAGAATGTAAGCGCTGCTGCAGTGTGTGTGACTCATTGTTATGAATTGATTCTGGCATGTTTAACCTCACACTTCTATTTTTTTTCTTGCAGCAATGAGATGCTTCACATATGCCTGCGGTGACGTTCTGCTGCGCTAGCCTGATGGAAACACCAGCTGCGAAACTTGAGTTCTTCAGAATTGGAGAAGTTGCCCTTCTCTCACCAATGATGACACAGACTGCCCTATGCTAGAAATTCAAGATTGTTTTTCCACGGATGACGCAGAAAACCTTTGATGTATTATGGTGTTTGTTTAGTGCTGGCTGTGGTGTGGCGAAGTCTACTTTTACGTGTGGTCACACGTCGCCTCATAAAAAGAACAATAAAGCATTTATTTTCCTTTCAATATTGTCCACTTTTTGTGTTAGAAGCACCCAAGCAGTGCTCTTCCAAGGAGCTCTCGCCATGTGTTAAGCGTGTGACAAGCATACTCGAGATAAATACTCATTTCCCCAAGGAGTAACTGGAAGCATGTGCAGTTGGTTTTCAGAGAGTAACTGCGAACACGTGGGAGGAACGGTAAAGAGTAACTGTTGCTCTTAGAAGAGCAACTGGTGGGAGTAATGGTTGGTCGGCAGGGAGCAACTGGTGGGAGTAACTGTTGGTCTGCAGGGAGGAACTGGAGGGAGTAACTGTTCATCCCCCGAAGGAGGAACTGAAAGGAGAGCAACGGTTCCTCCCTCTGCAGTTACTCCTTTTAGGAGAGTAATGGGAGTGGCAATGCAATTGCTCCCTGAAAGGAGCAACCCCTATACCCCTGTTGCTCCGTTTTGGCTTAGAGTGTATGCGTTCATACTTTAGACATTGTCAACAATAAGAAACTGGGTATTCAAAATTGAGCATGAGTAATTTGAGAAGATTAAAAGTAATCTCAGAGTAACGACCAGGTAATGCGATTAGTATGTCATAAATGAATTCACCTCCAACGCGCCTCTTACTTTTAAGGTCAAGGCGCAAATTACGAGGGATGACCTCTGGAGGTTAGGACAAACCAACAGCATCTTGCTCACCAGTTGGCAGGATGACCCTCGTGGTTGCCTACGGCCGGGTTAGACTGGCACGCCGGGCAGGAACTTGGCGATGGTGTCGGCTGTGTACTTTGCCAGGGCGATGTTTCCCTCCCGGGACGTGTTCCAGACGTCGTGGGGCACCATGTCTCCTGTCCATATCACGTAATCCACCTGCGACGATCGCATCCAACTGAGATGGACTTGCGTGCATGCGTGTGCTCGTTGCAGAGGAATAACCATCGAGTAACAAGGGACAAAGAAAAGCATGCTAAAAGGAGGAATCTAGATCATGAATCCTGTCGTGCCTTAAAACGCCTTCTTCTTGTAGCTTGTTTTTTCACAGTCCGTTATTTCTTCCTAGTTTTCTTTTGCCATATACTATCATGTAAAAATCTTGAACTGTAGTAACTTTTATGCCCGTTGAATTCAGGATAGCGTAGAGGCCTTTGCAGACAATGGCAACGCACAGGTTTATCACTATTTTATAGATTGCTCCTGCCATCCCTTCATGCATTATCATTACGATGAGCATAACAACGCAGATCAGTCCCAACAGCATGCGTGTTTAAATTCACGATAGTAGTTGACAAGGCAGGAAAACTTTATCATGGAGCATCAAATCCGTAGCTATCTAACGCTTAGATCAGCAAACTTTGTCCGCCGCTGTTCATTAGTATCCTAAGATCAGATATGTCCACAGTGCGGGCTCACTGTGAAACCAGTACAGTCGCTCTACCAACGAGTTACGAAAAGGCGACATCTATAGGCTGCTTCGATGCATATATTCTCAACTTGATGCTCATGCAGCGGGAAATCATGTTTAAAAATCAGAAGCTACAAAAACTGCAAAACCTTACCCGACCTTCATAACCGGCCGTTACTTTGTGTGTTGTGTGTGTGTGTGGTGTGTGGTGTGTGTGTGTGTGTGTGTGTGTGTGTGTGTGTGTGTGTGGGTGTGTGTGTGTGTGTGTGGTGTGTGTGTGTGTGTGTGTGTGTGTGTGTGTGGTGTGTGTGGGTGTGTGTGTGTGTGTGTGTGTGTGTGTGTGTGTGTGTGTTGTGTGTGTGTGTGTGTTGTGTGTGTGTGTGTGTGGTGTGTGTGTGTGTGTGTGTGTGTGTGTGTGTGTGTGTGTGTGTGTGTGTGTGTGTGTGTGTGTGTGTGTGTGTGTGTGTGTGTGTGTAACTACGGAAGAAGAGACAATGACCGAAAAGAGCGCTGACCTCAACCTAAATTTTATCAGCGCAATTGCTGGAATATGTACTCATGGCAGAAGCGAGCTCATCACAGCACAATCGCGCAACCTATTGCGTCACAGCCAGATAATCATTCATCTTATTATAGGGGTACAACACCACACCACAGCGCAACCTCACAATCTATTGTGTCAAAGCCAGATACTCGATTTCATCTTAGTGAGAGCAACCGAATGTATGCTGATACATAAATCACCCAGCATTTGCATTTCAATCGCTTAATAATACCGTGTTAGCTGATGCATTGTGAAGTTCATGATAAGTTCAGGATATTGGGACAGAGCTGCTCTATCGCTGGTGAGCGTCTTGAGTGCAGTGTCCAACGGGCAGCGGATGATGCGGATTACATTTACTGCCGAGTGCTTTTATCGGGGCCTGCGGAGACGATGTGCTGTGCAAGAACACCGTAGCAACAACGCTTGCGCGGTGACCCATGTTGTTCCAGATAATAAACAAGGATAAATATTAGGAATACAGTGCTCGCTGGACTTTTATTCATCAGTATCCTACAGCTGATTTCCTTGATTGATTGATTTGTTGGGTTTAACGTCCCAAAACCACCATCTGATTATGAGAGACGCCGTAGTGGAGGGCTCCGGAAAATTTGACCACCTGGGGTTCTTTAACGTGCACCCAAATCTGAGTACACGGGCCTACAACATTTCCGCCTCCATAGGAAACGCAGCCGCCACAGCCGGGATTCGAACCCGCGACCTGCGGGTCAGCAGCCGGGTACCTAACTTGACCACCGTGGCGGGGCTACAGCCCGGTTTCCTTCATGAGCACGCAGTGCCTACTATATTCGTGTTATCGGGGACCAGATCGCCAAAGTATCTATGACGCTACAAGTTGCATGTCTGCATTCGAACACGTAGTGGTAATTATTGAAGCATAATGCAAAGAAAAACATAACGCAAGTAATGTCCGCGGACTTTTTTGGTTATTAGCATTGAGTGCAGTGTAATAAATATGAGTTATTTAAACCATTCAATAAAACTGAAATGTCATTTTGATTCATTCATTTATAAATATTATGAACAAAAGCCTAAGCAAGGTGAACAAAATACATAACAATAATAAAAAAAAAGTTGCAAAGTGTTTTTTACAAAATGTTCTTGGTTGTAAGACGGGGGATAAAAAAAAGCTATTTAACAACTTGGTCATGATAAAATTCTAAGGAAGTAATAAAAAGAACAACAGTATCTGTACAAATAGTCACGGGCGTTCGGGGAATTCTTCTGTTAGTTTATTTAAATCAGCTATAGTTTGTGGGGAATAGGAGTAGCGAGAAGGGTCAGTCTTTGCGAAGATTGGCGTTAGGAAATGAAGATAGTGGTGCCGAGGTGGGTTGCTCAACAAACGGAAAACCTACGCTGCGGTGTCCAAGGATAGCCTGTGGTTTACTATGTCGGAATAAAAAAATCTGGACGACGTTTTTTTTTCTGAGTTTGTAATAATTTAATACCATTTGCACTTTGTGCAGTGTGGAAGCTGGTTGACTGAAATTTACTGTAAACAAATCGTACGACTTTTTTTCAATTTTTTCTAGGTTTTGAATGTTAATTTTTGAGTGGGGACCCCAAACTCTGGATGCGTACTCAAGTTTTGGCCTAATTAAAGAAAAGTATGACAGGAGTTTGACTCTAAGTGGGCAGTCTTGAGCTTGGGGCGGAGAAGGCATAATTTCCGGAAAACGGCAGGAAAAAATGTTACTTATATTCCAGGATAAGGTACTCGTTAATGTTAGACCAAAGTATTTATAGAAGGCTACTTTAAGCAAAAATGCTTCAAGTAAATTGTATGTGTCGTCTAAGGGGAATTTTTTGTGCGTTAGAGGGAGATACACACACTTATTTGCATTAAAAAGCATTCCCCAATGTTCGCATCATTTTGAGACGTTGCCCAAGTTAATATTAGGGTCGCATTGGTCACTAACGCAGGTATACCTTCTCTAAAGAAAACACGATCGTCCGTAAATTGGCGGATTTGTACAGGGGTGCTAATAACATTGACAATGGCATTTATGTCGACCAAAAACAGGAGGGGGCTGAGTACACTCCCCTGCGGAACGCCAGAAGTCACCGGAAGGCAGCCGGACAATTTTCCTCCCACCTGAACATATTGGTTGCAGTTGTGGAGATAGGCTGGGATCCAGGAAGCTTTACAATTAGTTTATCGTGTGTAACTGTGTCGAATGCTTTACTATAATCTAAGAATATTATATCAGTTCAGCCATTAGTATCAAGAGAAACTGCAAAAGTGTGATTGATACTAACTAATTCGGGTAAGTAGAAAAATTGTTCTCGAAACCCATGTGATGATTTGTTAAAACGGAGTATCCTTCCAAGAATTCATTTAGTTTGTGGGCTATTTATTATGCGCTTAATAAGCTTACAACCTGATGATGTTAAATATATTAGTAATTTTGTACTACAAGAAGGTCACCTTTTTTTTAATATAGGAACAATCCATGCCGACTATCAGTCGTCTGGCGATGCCACTCAAACAATAGACACGAAGAATGACGACTATGTATTTCGCAATGGACTCTGTAAAGCGACGCAAAAATATGTTAGGGATATTGTCGCGTCCGCCAGAACTTTTAGTCTTCGAGTTCAATAACAAAGCAACGACACCAGAATAAGGAATGTCACAATTTTGGCTTTACTAGGTGCCATTTTTTTCTGTTAAAACTGAAGAACACAAGTGTTGTGCATGCTAAACAACCTTCGTATGTGTGAAGCAAATAAGCAATGCTGCAGGTATGACAGGTATACGCTGTTGGTTACTTTAGTTCATCTACGGCGGATGAGATGAACTCCAAATAAAAGTTCGAATAATAAGTTTCCTTGTAAAACCGAAGCAAAGTGAATGGTAGTATACTTAAACATAAGTATCTAGTCATGCGTCCGTATTAAGTCAGCTGGCGTCGGCTTGAAGCGCCTTCGTGGAGGACTCACCGGTGATTGCCTTAACTCGAGTCCTTAGCGATCACGGGCCTATGAAAAGTAATTTGGGATCAAAGTTTGTACTAGCGCAGACGAAATGAAGTCACTTGTTTGCCAGCTATTGCATCACGTCCGCTTTATTTTTTGTTCCGCCAGAAGTGTTCCCTTCTCACAGAGATGGTGCTAAGCCTCATGAGCAGCTGATCAGACGCCATTTTTTGAACGTGGGGGCTTCTACAGAGCCTTCCCTACCAGTTGCATCTACCTTTCTTCTGCTGTAAAACTAACAATGCCCTATTCACATGAACATTGCTACATCCGGAACATTTAGAGCGTCTCATTTTCCCCTGCAGGTAAATGTTTAGCTGATAAAAATCTGCTTACGAAACCATATTTTATCACAATTTTCAACACCAGACATTGCAGTTCGAAAAACATTATATTATCTGCTCATATCTCATATCATTATAGTATCTGCTCAAATTATATTATCTGCTCATTAGTACTTTTTGTGTTTTAATCACCAAAAATGTTTCCGCATGCAAAATAAAAAAAACACCGAAATAAAGAGATAAACAAATCGATGCTTCAAAGACCTCTTAATGCATGCCAATATTATAATTCAGCCATATTAATCACTGCATTACTTACTATGCATTCCAGTAATGTGTGCCTATAGAACTTCACGGACATATAGTCCCACCCAGTCGCCTGCATTGGTTGTGAGCCATCGTCAGAGCAGGACAACAGAACCCAGTGCTCACCTTGTGGTAATCCCGCACTTCTTGGAGCATGTTCTCGAACGTCCTGGCAGGCAAGTCGCACTTGTGCAGAGAGCCCCAGTGGCCAGCGGGTACGTTGATCAGCCAGTGGCCTTGCCGTTGTCCTCGCGGCAGCACAGGGGTTCGGGGCAGTCGGCTCGGCTGCCCTCCGCGTATCGCATGTCCACGTGCGTGTCAGTAACGTGCAGAAAGCGCAGCTTCAGAGCATCCCGCTGTTCGAGAAGAGCAAAACACTCAACCTAAAAATTTCTAGTTCAAGCTCTTAGTGAACACTCCCGTATTTTGATTACTAGTACTAGTGCATTGCTACAAAGAAGGTAGGCTTCGTGACGACACGCTCCTTCGGTTCAGCAGCCTTCGTAAACTGCATGAGCAGATGTTCTCCGTTAACGGATCAGTCTTTCTTCGGTGTTCCAACTTGACGTCAAAACCACTTAAATAAACGTCTGAAAACTCCTTAACTTATAACGTAACGTTCATCTTCAGATCACGATGCTCCTTTGTAGGACTTATTGTACCAAAGCTCACATGCGGTTCTGCTTGTATGTTACGCACGCGTTCTGTGCACACACCACAAAACTGGACGCAGGATGACGGCTATAAGACGTAGCTGCTGTGATGCCTGTCCGTGAGTCCCGTATCCCATGCACCATTTTCTCGCTGTTCACAGCAGAATCTGCCACATCGGTTATAAAGACAGCTTTTTGGAGATGACCCCGGAAGCGATTCTTACCTGCTATACTTTGTAAATGGCTGTCGACTGCTGTGTGCACGTTT